AGACACCAAACAAATGCCTGACTATACATTTGTGTGTGAGAGAGACTTTTGGAATAACTTTATCTAAAGAGGTTTTATTGTAAATAAAAGAGACCCATCTATTTAATTCAGTCACAGACAGCCCTCCCTTTCTTCATGTACTGCTACAAGAAGCAATGAGTCAAGAAACTTGAGAAATAGGGGACCTATAGTCAGTAGGATCAGCATGCATGAATCTCAGGATCTGGACTCTGTAGGGGCTCAAGGCCATGATTAGAAAGTAATGATGGTTCCAGGAGGAACCAGGTGAGGGGAGAAAGTCATTAAGGTGTGCCCTGTGCTTCAATGGAATTAAGAACTCAGGGACAAGTGAGGAAGACACTGCAGAGAAGGGAGAGAGTAAGCAGCATGGCTCTTTTGACCTTTGACTACACAGACATCTATTGAAGAGACAGTCCGAGGATCTGCATCCTACTATTCATTTATCAGTACTGACATTTATCAGTAGTCATCCTACCAGTTCCTCTTAGTGACGAATTCATAGTAGCAGCTATCTCACTGTAAAATCATTCATTCATTGCCAAGATCAACCACCCACAATGCATAGGGAGTGAGCCACAAACTAAAGGCTGGACCACAGAGAAGCCACGTCTCCCCCTGCAGGAGCTCCAAACATTGCACAGGTCTTCTTGTCCTGGGAATGCTGGGAAACAGGAGCAAGACATTGTGTGAGGTCTGGTACACACTCCATAAGCAGGCTTCCCCTAAGATATTTCTTTATAAAAGCTGTGGTGACCAGATCCACCTCCCTAACAGCCTTCCAAAAGCTCTGGGCACCAGGTGGTGACTGACTCGTTGGTTTCTCCTCCACCCACCCTCATCTCAAACACAGCACAAAGGCTGGGACTGTCTACTACATTCTGTATTTCATGAGTGTGCTCTGTATGCAGACTTTCGGCTGCTTGTTAACAGTAAATGACTATTATCCTTTACTGGATGGGGGAAACCGAGGCTCAAATTATATGAGGCAAAAATAGAAGCCAGTTTACAGTCTGTCTGACTTATCAGAATACACTACCCAAATGTCTGCAAGGTGTTTTGCTGCCCTGTGTGTGAAAGGCCCTTCTTCCTGTGAAGAAGCCCTATGCCCCAGGGAGTTGTTTCCCCTCCTCAGGGGCCACATGGGGTTGTTCTGAAATGATCTAGGATGTGTTGTATGCAGAGCCCTCAATGGGGATGTCAGCTGGTGATCCATGTTTTCATGAAAAACTGTGCTTCAATTTCTTATCCTCAAAACAGCCTTTGAAAAACAGTCTAGGTTATCATATAAAGTCTTTCCTGAAATTGACCCTTTTATGAAGCTTGTGATACATGAGAATTTGAAATAACTCCCTTTTGTGTCTGCTATTTTCTGTTTGTTTTCTTATTGCCTAGCATTTGAGGGAAACAGGCTGAATGAATTGTATTGTATCAAGGCTTCATATTGTCTTGCACAGTAGCCAGGCTTCTCTACTGCCCCAGGGCCACTTGCACAGGTATTGCTAACTTTTCCATGCGGGTGCTCTTCTCCAGTGCATCTAGTGTGTGCTTCATGTGGTCACTCTCCTCTGTGGGTTCCAGAATCACTGGGTCTAGCTTCACTTTTATGAGTGTTAATCCTCATTGTCACTTGAGAAGATTTGGAGTCACTAGGAGGCACACCCCTGGGCATGTCTGAGAGGAAGTTTCCATAGATGTTTAACAGTGGAAGGAACTATACCAGGGTCTCAGCATGAATAACAAGGGGAAAAGAGAAAGCCAACTGAATTCCTTCTTCTCTGCTTCCTGGCTACAGACAGAATGAGACTTCCGCCTTCATGCATTCACCCTTCACACATAACCTGTGTTCCTCTAAACCGTGAACAAAATAAACAGCTTCCTTGCTTTTGTCAGCCATTGTCATAGCAGTGCGACATATACCTGGGGGATCTCATAGTGGTCAGCAGAGTGGGGTTGCCATGGAAATATTAGGAACTCCTCTCTGAATGTTGTAGGATTCTTGGAAATCACTTGGTCTCCACAGACTGTGGAATTTATAGCAGCTACTGGCTCATGGGGAGTCCTGACTCACAGGCCTTACAACAAGAAAGAGCCTGTGATGGACATACTCTCACCACACAGTACTGTGAAGGGTAGCATGAGGCACCCTCCTCAGAAACCAACAGAATTAACCAGTTCTGATGTTCCATCCTTGCCATCCAGACACATTCGTCATCATTTTGAAAATAGAGCTGTCTTGTGATCAGCCCTATCTGGTTGGTCTAGTATTGTCTATGGCTCTTTTTGTACTTTGACAGTGACCACTGGCCTCAGAGACTCTGCAGATACAACCCCTAAAATGTTTAGTCTTTGCCTGTGTTATTTTATTCTCCATCATGATAGCAAACACTGGAGGCCCTATAGTGAGGTGGCTTGTCACGATGGGAGCAAATGGAAGAGACTGTCCATTTACCACAGTCAGGACAAGATAAAGGGAAAGGTGGGTTTGGGTTCTTCCCTCCCCATAAGGGCATACACCTGTAGTATCAAGTATCATGTTTTTTGGAGTACATGAAAGACACACACACACACACACACACACACACACACACACAGCACGTGTAAATGCCACCTGCACACACATGATGGGGAATACCTTCTGTATATATGTTTCTCTTATTGGTTGATGAATAAAACACTGGCTGATTGGCCAGGCAGGAAGTATAGTCAGGGCTAGGCAATGAGGAGAATTCTGAGAAATGTAGGCAGACAGATTTGTTATGTAGAGCCCAAGAAGTAAGGACGTGCCAGGTGTTCTCTGGTAAGCCAAGACCAAGTGGAAATATATAGATTAATAGAAATGGGTTAATAATTAAGACAGAGCTAGCCAATATGAAGCCTAAGCCACTGGCCAACAGTTTTATAACTAATATAGAGTCCATGTGTTTATTTGGGGCTCAAGGGTGGTGGGACCCTACCACCAGGCCAGAAACATTCATACAACACACACACTTTCATAAAAGTGAAAATGGTACATATACGCTATCTCTGCAAGGTCAACACATACTTGTAGCCATTGGGCATCTTTATAGCACACACTCTCAGTGACCCAGTTTTTGAAAGTTCCTCCTGTACATGGGCTGGGGGTTCCAACACACAGGCCTTTGGGACATATTTAAGATCTGAGCCAAGGCACTGGTGCCTAAACAAGCCCCTGCCACCCTGAGCTGTGCCACAATTACCTTCATGACCATATGAACACTGATATTTTGTTTGTGAACCAGATTGTGGGTTATTATAAACCTAAGACCAGTATGACTACAGGAGAAGAAGACCTTCTCAAAAGACCAGGCTAACCAAATAATCCCACTCCACAATTCCTGAAGTCACAGTGTAACTGGCCCTATCTTCTGCACTTTCTGAGATTCCATACATGAACTTCACCTTCAGGCACCACCAAAGCCAGCAGGAGAAGCAATTCACAGGTTCTGAGTACCGGAAGGCATCACCCTTGTGAAATACAGGTTCCTGTGCTTCTGGACTGGGTCTGGAAACCAGGAGCCCCACAACCAGGACAGTCTGCTGACCCAGCGCCTGCTTAGCTAGTCACATGAAGTCACAGGAAGGTTGTGAGAACAAGGCAGGGAGAGTTTGGAGGCATTAAAGACCTCAGGGACATTTTCTTCTCTGAGAAGGTCCAACTTGCTCTACCTACCTAAGATCTACCTTGCAGAATCAAAAAGATTCTGCCTGAGAGCATGTAGAAGGCCAAGTTCACTAGCAGATCCATGGATTGCTCTTTCAAAACTAGCTTCTATCTCCTCATTTTCTATGCTTTGTTTACTTTCAGATGAGGCTTGTATTGGACATTTTTAATTAAACTACATTGATAATCTTCATTTAAATGGGAACATCTATTCAATGTTAAAGATACCAATTCAGTAAAGACTCATTAAAATATTACTCTGATATAAAGTAGTCCATCAAGCTGTCGCATCACTAAAACTCAATGAGATCTGACAGAACCAGGAAGCTTGCAGGTATGAAACCTAAAATTCAGAAATGTGACTGTTTTTAAAGCCAAGTATGAGTTAACACTCAGCCTGAACAGGGTTATGTTGTTGTGCCCCTCCATTTTAACTGCAAGAAAATGTACAATTAAACCTAATGTTTTTCCCAAGCTGAACCAATGAACACACTGGGTTTCTTCAGGGGAAATGAGTGGGGTGTAGAAGGGAAAAATAATGGGAATGACTGTGACCTATTACTGCAGTTCACAAAGCTCTTAAAGGCAGCAGCCCCACCAGGCTGTAGCATATGGGAGTCAATCGCAGCCTCTCATTTCCACAGAGTGGGATGGTGTTCCATTACCAGACAGGCAAATGGGGTAGTTGGCAGACAAACAAATTACTACTGCACTGTGAACCTGAACATGTAGACTAGAGTTTTCCACACACAGCATCCTGAACAACTGCCGACTAACTGGCGTTCTCTTTTCTCCAACGGAGACACATAAACACAGGAGGAGAGTACCAGAGGCTTTGAAGAGAGGGTGCTGTGCCTGCCTAGAGTCAGAGGCTTGGCTGGTTCTGAGGTCTGGGTCCCGCTACGGTCACCCTCACCTCTGGCTCTGACACCTGGCAGAGATCCCCTGGCAGCGTTTCTCACTGCCATCCCACCTAATCTGACCCTGTAGACAGAATTTGTGAACTCAAAGCACGGCCTCTTCTGCTTGAGTGTGGAACCTGTTGGCAATGATTTTTAAAGGAAACACAGTCTCATTCTCACGCCACTGTGGCATGAGGACACCTGTAGGCTGCTATGTTTTCCTGTCATGTCACCCACGTGTAACATCGGTATCAAGAACAACAACGCACCATCCAATTTAACAGCAAACGCTCTGTAAGTGTGAAATGGCTGTGTTGGGAAAGGGGTGATACAATTTCTTCCCCCACAGGCTTTGAGGGGCAACCCACAGCATCAACTGGGAAAGCACTTGGTACCTGAGTTCACTTTCTGGGTCCTCTTCAGACCAGTGCTGTTGGCTCCTGCCACAGGACTCAGACGTGATAGCTGGATATTTTCACCAATCTGTCATAGTGCTCATTTCCTAAGGGACAGAACAACAACAAAGGGCACAGTTACTGACAAAGGCAGGCCCTGACACTTAAACTGACACTTAAAACAACACTGACAGGCACCACAGGTAAAGAAGGTGTGTAGCATCCTTGACTTTAAACCATTTTTAAACTTTTAAGTCCAGGGAGATGGTTCCACGTGTAAAAGGCACTTATCACTGAGCCTGAACAGCCAGAGTTAGATTCTCCAGAGAGAACTGATTTCTACAAGTTCACTGTGGCAATCCTGCCCCAACAAATACATGTAAAAATGATGTAATTTATTCACTTTGAAATCTAAGCTGTTTGCCATCTTTAAAGACAGACCCCTGTTTGAGGCTAAAACTAAATGCACATAATACTTTGACCAAGCAACCTGCCCAATTATTGCCCTTCCTCACTACTTTGATACAATTAGGAAACCATGAAAGAGTTGAAAAATATTTTATATGTTAATTTCTCAGAAACTAGGTGGTTTTTTTTTTTATATAACAAAATATAGTCTGTTGATGCCCCAGGAGACTTCCACATGTCACCATGCTTTATCTTTAGCACAACAACAAAAGAGATTACCTGCATGAGTAGAAATTTAGAATATATTTTATTAATTTTCTGCAATATTGTCCTGGTTATGATTTTTAAATACCTAGATTATTACAAAGAACACCATCAAAGGCAAACAGAGAGAGGGAGAGAGAGAGAGAGAGAGAGAGAGAGAGAGAGAGAGAGAGAGAATCAGAGGGAAAATGCTAGAGAACTAGGTGCCTGGTTGTTCAAGCCATTGTTTCTGATGCTAAGCTCCAATTCAGAGGCCTCATTAAATCCAGTCTATGGCAATAACAACCGAGGTGTTAATGGGCGGCAGTGAAGTGTGTCAGGGAATGAAGAGACCCTCAGGGCTCTCCAGTTTACATCAGCCACACACAGCAGCGTTACCATAAATCCTCTAAAAGACACTACGCTCCACTTCTCACAGGCTACCTGGAGATAAGTCAGCATTCAGAGCACTCAGCCTCGGGACTAAGAAGCCAGCACCCATCTCTCACATAATACACACTGGTCCACAAAGCATTGCTGGAACAAAGTCTCCTGATTTCCCTAACGAGAGTACAGGAAGCCAACAGGCAGAGGACAGAATGTGGAAATACCATGTGGAGCTCAGATTACCCACCACCCCAATCCGGCTGAAAACTGGAAGGATAAATGGTATTGGTATTCTAAGTCTTAAACTGTTAGTATGCAAAGGTTCAGTGACATGCCTAAACATGTTAAAGTTTTAGTACTTTTTAGTATGGATTTCTCTTATCTATAGTACTCTATACTGTAACACATGCACACAAGCACAGATGTATACACACTCACAAGCATACCTACACACTCATGTATACACAGCTATATGCATATCTCACACATATGCATACTAATATACCCATACACATACAGAGGTACATATATTCTAACATGCATACTCAAATATAGATATGCTTGAATATGCACAACACAATGCCCCATTCACACATATACTCATATGGGCATACACATATGCACACATACATGCACACATATGCAAACATTATATCTATATCTATATAGATATAGATATGCACATACCAACATGCATATACCCACAGGTATATCACACATACATTCACAAACACAAACACACACAGGCACACACATGCACACACATACTCTAATATGTGTATATACACATGTACATATTACAAATGCACACAATACTTTTATTTCCTCAACAATGGCTGTTCCTTTATTTACAGTGCACCTGCACATGTAACTTTTACACAGCAGTGGTGGCAAACATCCAAACTGCTGTCAATCAGTTCCCTCTAGGAGTCAGTTGTTACTCAGGCATTCCTCCAGAATAATCAACACCTTCTCCAAACTCAGTCTTGGACACTGACCTCTGCAACTCAGAATCCAGAGCCTCCCCATCCATGCTGCCAGCTCTTAACAACTGAGGGGCTATCTCTACAATCTGGATTCTGGATCTTTTGTGCAACTGATGTCTGTTGTAGTTTTAAAAAGCAATGCAAGAGAGAAAGACACCATGGGGCAGAGCTCACATGGAAGAGTTTTTTTATTGGGGGAAAGTGAATGGGAAAAGGGGGAGGGGAGACTGGCTTCTGATGAGAAGAGTGGCAGGAGGAAGAGGGGAAGGAAGAGGGAGAGGGATAAGGAGGGAAGGAGGAGAGGGAGAGAGAGAGAGAGACAGAGAGAGAGAGAGAGAGAGAGAGAGAGAGAGAGAGAGAGAGAGAGAGAGAGATGGGAGGTGGGCAGGCCCCTTTTAAAAGGGAACACAATGAAAGCGCACAGGTGATGCTCTTATTGGCTGTAGCTGAGGGTGTATGGTGTGAGGACCCCAAGGGCAGGCCAGTACAGATGCCTGAATACTAAAAGTATCTGTTCCCAAGGTCAGATATGGGAAGGTACTTAGCATACACACTCGAGGTTTCTGATTTTTAAGTGATGTAACTGTTCTTTTCAAGAATGCTATGGGGTCACAGAACCTGGCTGAATCAGCAGTGCTGGGGAGCCTTTTGATTGGCAGAAGTACTGAAGTTCACAGTCCACCCAACACACATGGCACTGGGCTAAATTTAAGATTTATCCTTTAGTTTTGGTCTCAGTTGGGGTCACTATGGCTGTGATGAAACACCATGAGTAAAGCAACTTGGTGAGGAAAGGGTTTATTCAGCTTACACTTCCACACCACTGTTCATACCATCAAAGGAAGTGACAACAGAACTCAAGCAGGGCAGGATCCTGAGGTAGGAGGAGCTGATGCAGAGCCATGGAGGGTGCTGCTCACAGGCGTGTTCCTCATGGCTTGCTCAGCCTTCATTCTTATAGAACCCAGGACCACCAGCCCAAAAATAGCAAAACCCATGAGTTGGGCTCTCCTTATCAGTCACTAATTAAGAAAACACCCTACAGGCTTGCCTACAGCTGGATATTATGAGGGCCTTTTCTCAATTGAGGCTCCCTACTTTTTGATGCTCTAGCTTGTATCAAATTGGCATAAAACTAGCCAGCACAGTACCTCAGACTTTTTCTTTTCAAGAATCCACAATACCCTGTTGTGTACTTGGCATGAACGGCTGGCCAAGAGGCCGAATCCTGCAGGAAGCTGTGTTGCTGGTTCGAGGCATTTTCTATTATTTAGTTGGCTTGGGCACATTTGATGCTCTGAGTATTGGTTGAATGGAATTGGGAATTGCTCTAAAATGCTTCCGGCCTCACAGTGCTCTAAAGGGGCCCTGTTAATGACAGGAATGATGAGCCCCTCCCATCGTCATGTCTGGGAGGTGTCCCCTGCTCTGTCGTAGCTCCCAGAACCCTTCAGCAGGTGCCAGAACCTGACTTTGTGCACACTCAGCCCCACAGGTCTGCCTCGCCTGAGGTTTCCCATGACACAAATGCCTTTTGTATAAGAAGCTTCAGCTAGGATGAAATGTGTGTGAGCCTACCATCACAGCATCACTTCCACTTCAGTGGAAACGATTTTAGCTTTTTAAATTTTCCTTCTGCAAAGTTCTGCATGAGCTAGGTTAAAGCACGAGGGACATGTTTTGACAGTACATCTTCCTCAGGCTTGCAACACTGAACAATAAGAGCCAGACAACTGCCTGCCAGCCCTCGTGCAGCAGAGCGATGAGTAGACTCCTCAGTAGACTGAGGTGGAGTTAATGATGAGACCTCATAAGATACAGCCCAAGGACTCTGTCCTCAGCATGGTTTGCTTTCCTAGACTGGTGTCTCAGCACCATCTGGACCTGAAAGGCAATTTCCAGCAGGACTTCCTTATAGTTTAGTGGTCACGTCTGGAGTCCAGATGGTGGAGAGGAAGCAATGCATCCCAGCTGCCTATGGTGGGCAGCTCTGGCTGAATGCATATCCCTATGACTTTCATGCACATTTCTGCCTCCTCTCTCTGTGCTTCTACTGATAGAAGGACCATACTCTTGGGCAGGATGAAGGAGCTATGCAAAAAACTTATGTGAACTCTCTAGCTCACCATGCTCCCTGCAGGAATAAGGTTGCGTTTCCCTTCATGCCAAGTTACCCATATGTTAGGAGCCCCACTCCTATGCTTACTTATACTCTGTGTTTTAGAACAGCTTGTGAGAAGATAATTCATTTCTCTTATGTCTATGAAATTCAAAGCATGTCCACTTCCAGACTTTTTAAAAGGGAAGGGAAGGAACCTTTATGGAAAATAAAGACTATAATAAGCCTGGAAGGTTCATTACAATAGAAGCAATAGATGATGCATCTTAAAGAGAAAAAACAGGGCATCAGAAAAAAGCAGGGCAACATCAAAACTTTCCTTACACTTTTTAAATGTCATACCTTTGTGCATGTGATTAGAGTCCAAATCAATTTGGACTCCCAGATTTGCTCATAGAGAGTCCAAGCCTCATTGCCACACACAACACCAGTTTTGTTCTTATTGCTGTGACAAAATACCCAACAAACACTACTTAGGGGAAGAAAAGGCTTAGTTTGGTGCAGACAGCCATTACAGCAAGGAACTCACAGTGGCAAGAAGCCCTGAGTCACATCCATGGCTGAGAACAGAGAGAATGAGCTCATGCATGCTTGTCTGTCTGCACTTTGCTTTCTCTTTGTTCAGCCTGGGTCTTAGTCCACTGTCAGAACACAGTTCAGGAATGGAGTTCTGTGATGAGAACTCAGAGCGCTTGTGAGGACACCCCAAAATCCAAAACAAGAGTCTTGTGACCTGGGTTTCTTCAAAACCGGTAATTGTTCCTGGAATGTGTTTTCATACTCCTCCCAGGTATAGCAGATAGGAGTGAATTTACTTCAGATCAACCATTACTTCCTGCTACTGTCATTCAATTAAATATTTAAAGTAGGCCTTATATGTCTCTATGGAAAAACATGTTTTGCCATGTGCAGCTTGTCCCTGTGATTGTGTTCAGTTTGAATTCATGTGGACTTTAGTCATGTGA